GTCGGGAAGCCGAAAAAGCGAGGAAACAAAAAACCTCGGGGAAACTAATGAAAATCCACGATTTTGGCCTCTCGGGCCTCTCCTGGGATGCCTCTTGGGAGGCCTGTTGGGCCGTCTTGGGGAGCTCTTGGGCCGTCTTGGGCCAATCTTGGGCGTCTTGGCCGGATCATTGCGCGTCTCGGGGCCCTCTTGGGCCGCCTTCGGGGCATCTTGAGCGGCTCGGAGCCGTCTTTGGGCCGTCGGGGCGACCTCCGGAGCGTCTTGGAGCCGTTTCTAGTCATTTGGCTGGATTTCCTTCCGGCACGCGCTGCCTCCGGCCATATAGTATAGATGACGTCGGGTTCCAGCTTCGCCTCCCGCATCTCGCTCAGCAGCGCAAGCGCCCGCTGCCACTGCTGGCCCTTCTCGCACGCGCTGATCCCAGCGTTGTAGCTGATGACGTTGGGCTCCAGCTTCGCCTCCCGCATCTCGCTCAGCAGCGCAAGCGCCCGCTGCCACTGCTCGCCCTTCTCGCACGCGCTGATCCCAGCGTTGTAGTAGAGACTAGGGCTGACCCGTGGACTCCGTCCACGACATCTTTCTGGAATGGTTCTCGGAGGAACGGCGCAGATTGTACCGAAAATCTACAAACACGGCGGCGGCTCGGGCGGCGGCAGCGAGACCGCGCCTTCGTGTCCGAGCTCTTGCAGCGCTCCAGCAGCTTGGCCCAGCGCACTGCTCGTTCACCCCCCTCCTATTGAGGACAGTTTCGAAGTCTCTCGGGAATGTGCGTCGAAGTCGAAGCCCATCTGAGGCGTCTCAGGAGCGCTCGGGGAAGGGCTCGGGAGGCCATCGGGGAAAGCCACCGAAAGCGCCGGGGAGGCTCGCAAGGATCTACAGGGAGGGCCCAAGAGAGCTTCAAGAAAATTTGAAACCCAGTGAACTCTTAAGAGAAACCGCTGTTGGGTCGGCCATCACCTCCGGGCGCGCCTTGATGGTGCGATCCAGTCGCATCACCGCCAACGGGTGGGTTTGTTCGCCATGTCCCATTCTGTTCGCCCAGAGGGTCTGTGGAGGCCTTCGGGCGAACAGAACGGGACAGGGCAAGGAATGGGGAAGACATGTCCGAATCTCCTGGGCCCCCCAGATGCTCGTCCGAAGAATGCGGAGAGGTCCCAGGGTCATATCATTTGGCTGCTGTCCCAGGGGTCCGGTCTGCTTGGCCCGAAGAGTTTGCCAAGGCCCCTGGGGGAACAGAATGGCACAGCATATCGGGCAAAGGGGGGCGGTAGCTGGCCTGTCAGACCCGGCGTTCGTCTTCTGCCCAAGCGGCGCGGGGCCCACGGGCCCCAGGGTTGGCGTCCCGCTGAGATTCCTCTTGTTCGCCCACAGGGTTGGAGGAGGCCTCCAGGCGAAAAGAATGGGGCAGGACAATGAATGTGGGAGACTTGTCGCAAGCTCCCAGCCACCCCAAATGTGCGCCCGAAGGGTGTGGGGCCGCGCTGGCTCCCTCAAAGGGCCGTCTTGGAGCCGTCTAGGCCCGTCTTGAGGGCGCCGTTTGCCCTGATGGGGCCGTCTTGGTTCGTCGTGGGCCCCTCATGAGCGCGTCCGTAGGCCGTCCTGGGCCCATCGGGGTCCTCGTGGGGCTGTCTTGGAGCCGTCTGGGACCGTGAGGAGGCCGCCTTGGAGTCGTCTTGGGCCCCTCCTGTGCGCCTCCTTGGGCCGTCCTGGGCCCAGCAGGGGCCGTGTTGGCACCCTCTTGGGGCTGTCTTGGAGCCGTCTTGAGCCGTCGCAGCGCGCCTTGGGTTGTGCTGGGTCCGTCTTGGCCCGTCTCGGGGCCTTCCTGGGCGGTTCCTCGGACCCTCCTGGGACTTTCTGGGGCCTCTTGGTGCATCGGACCGCCGAAACGGCGGGAAACGCAAAGGGTGTAACAGTAAACAATGGAAAATTAACGATTTTTGCCAGCTGGGACTCTCTTGCCATCTTGGCCCGTCTTGAGGCCCCGAACGGGCGCGTCCTTGGGCCGTCCTGGGCGCACCCTCCTGGGACCGTCTTGGAATCGTCTTGGGCCGTCTTGAGCGCGCCTTGGGCCGTCCTGGGCCGGTCTGGGGCCGTGTTGGCACCCTCGCGGCGAGGAAGCTCGGAGGCGGGCTCGAGGCCTCTTCGGGGCCATTTTGGAAGCTGTTGGGGCCTCTGTAGGGGCCTCGTTTGGGCTCCTTGGGAGCCTCCTGGGGCCTCTTCGGGGGATTCTTGGCGGCCCCTTGGGGCCTCTTGGGGGCCTGTTTGGGCCTCCTGGCGCCCTCTTGGGGCGGAAGGCTCGGATTTTCGGTCCGTGGTCCCCCTCTTGGCCCCCTCTTGGGCCTGTCTTCGGGCCCTCGTGGGCCGTCTTGAGCGTCTCTTGGGTCGTCTTGGGGCCCTCTTGGGCTGTCTTGGGGCGCTCTTGGAAACCTCTTGGGCCGTTCTGGGGCGCTCTTGGAGGCCTCTTGGGCCGTCTTCGAGCGTCGGAAAGCGGAAAAGGCGAGAAGGCCAAAATCCTTCCAAAACCGTCGTAAAGCGGACGATTTTGAGGCCCAAAACCGTCCAAAACCTCCTGAGGCGGTCCCCTCGTCCGCCCCCCTCGCTTCGAAGCAGTTTTTAAGCCCCGTGGCACCTCTTGGGGATCTCTTTTGGGCTCCTGGGGGCCTCTTGGGCCTCCACTGGATTCGCTGCCCTCGGTCGGCAATCGTCGATCCTACGACGACTCTCCCCAACGGAGAAACATCGAAGGCCCTCGGAGCGTCCAACATTGTTCTTTTGTGCCTTCGATATGCCGGTCGCCTCTCGTCCGCTCCCCCCCTCCTGGAAGCAATTCTGAAGCCACTTAGGGCTTCGTGGGGGCCGTTTGGGGATCTCTTGGGGCGTTTTTGCCTGCGATATGCCTGTCGCCTCTCGTCCGCTCCCCCGCTCCTGGAGGGAATTCTGAAGGCACTGAAGGCTTCGTGGGGGCCGTTTCGGAGCCTCTTCGGCCTTCTTTTGGGCCTCCCGGGGGGGCTCTTAGGGCCCTCTCGGGCCGTCTTGGGTGCCTCTTGGGCCGTCTTGGGGCCGTCTGAGACCCGCCTCGGCGCCTCTTGGGCTGTCTTGGGCCGTCTTGGGCCGCTCCTGGGGCCGTCTTGGGTGCCTCTTGGGCCGTCTTGGGCGCCTCCTGGGCCGTCCTGGGGCCGTCCTGGGGCGTCTTGGGACCGTCTGGGGGCCCTCCTGGCCCGTCTTGGGGCTCTCTTGGGGTCCTCTTCGGCCGTCTTGGAGCGGTCGGGGGGACTTCTTGGGCCGTCTTGGAGCGTCGGGAAGCCGAAGAGGCGAGGAGGCCGAAAACATCGAAAAACACAGTAGAAATCGACTATTTCTGTCGCTCGGGGCCCTCTTGGGAGGCCTCTTGGGAGGCCTCTTCGGGCGTCTTGGACGCCTCTTGGGCCGCCTAGGGCGAATCTCGGGCGTCTTGGGCCTATCTTTAAGCGTGCCGGGGCTCTCCGGGGCCGTCTTGGGGGCTTCTGGGGGCCCTCCCGACATATCCTGGAGCCTGCCTGGGCGGCCCGGGGCGGCCCGGGGCCAGCCCGGGGCGGTTTTGAGACATTTGAGCCTGCGCCCTTCTGGCACGCACTGGGCCCTGCAATGTAGTAGAGACTAGGGCTGACCCGCGGCCTTCCGGCCGCGGAATCTGCCCGCCACGGCGTGGACGTGGAAGTGGAGCGTCTCCGGGGCCTGGCAGGTGAAGGGAGGGTGGAGGGGACGGCGTGGATGGAGGAGGTGGCCGCTGGAGGAGGAGATGGGGCGATGCAGGCAAGTAGGCATGAAGGCAGGAACGCGGTGGTGGAGGCGGTGTGGAAGCGCACCCATGTAGGCATGACATGGTGTGGACAGAAGCTGTTTCTCACGCCCCAGTCTGTGTTCATCATAGCTTCTGCGGGGAGGGTAGCCGTGATAATTGTATCAGCTCTTCGCCGGGCCCGAACAATAATTTTATCTGGTAGTGTGGTGACAATGGGGCCGGTGGGCGCGGCCTAAGAGGCCCCGCAAGAGGGCGGCGAGACGGCCCAAAAGGTCTCCAGGACGGGCCAAGAGGCTTCCCAGAAGGCCCCAGAGGGCCCCACGAACTCCCTAAGACGGGCCCCAGTGCGAGGACACGAATCGACATTTCGAGCGCACCGCCCCAAGACGTCCCCCAAAGGCGCGGAAATGGCTCACAGAGGGTCCAAGAAGCCCCAAAGACGACGCTGGGAGAGAAGGATCCAAGGCCTCTTGGGGGCAGTTTGGGAGTACTTTTTTTGCCTCCTGGGGGTCTCTCGGGGCCCTTTTGGGCCGTCTTCACTGCCTCTTGGGCCGTCTTGTGGCGATGTGGGGCCGTCTCGGGCGCCTCTCGGACCATCTTGCGGCCGTCTTGGGCTCATCTTGGGCCGATATTGGGCGCTATTGGGGCTGCCTTGCCGTTTCGGGCGCCTCTGGAGCCGTCCCGGGGCCGTCTCGGGCCGTTTTGAAATCCTCCTGGGGGCGTCTGGGAGCGTCTTGGGCGATCTGAGGGCCTGTACAGCCGTGTTGGAGACTGTGCAGATGGAAAGGCTTGAGGACGGGGCGGTGGGGGCCTGTACAACCGTCTTGGAGACGGGGCGGTGGGACCGTCATGGGCCATTGTGAACTGCTCTTGGTGCTGTTTTGGGTGCGTCTTGGGCCCTGTCGGGCGGGCCGTTTGGGGGCCCTCCTGAGGGCCTATGAGCGCTTCTTGGGGCGATTCCACTAGGGAATGGGACGATTTCGGCCTTTGGGCTCCTCCTGGAGGCCCTCCTGAGCCATCTTGGGGATCTCCTGGCCTGCCTTGGGGGCCTCTGGGGCTGTCTTGGGGCTCCCAGGGGTGCCCTGAGGCCGTCTTGGCGCCCCTTGGAGCCTCTCGGAGCCGTCCCGTGGGCCATTAGTGACTGTTCTTGGGGCTGTCTTGGGTGCGTCTTGGGCCGTCTCGGGCGCCTCTGGAGCCGTCCGGGGGCCGTGTGGGGCTGTTTGGGGGCCCTCCTGGGGGCAGCTGGTCTTGGGAGGAGCTGGGGGGCCTGTACAGCCGTCTTGGACGCTGCGAGGACGAAGAAACAAGATACAGTGAAGATGTGCGTTTCCCGTCAAAAATGGGACGATTTTGGCCTTTTGGGCCCCTCGGGAAAGCGATAATTGTGGCCTCCCAGGGCCCTCCTGGGAAGCCTCTTCGGCGTCTCTTGGCCCGTCGTAGAGGCGTCTGGGGCCGTCTTGGCGCCGCAAGAGGCAGTCTTGGCTTGTCGTGGATCGCTCTTGGAGCGTCTTGGGGATACCTTGGGCCGTCCTGGGAGCCTCTTGGTGTCGCCCTGGAGCTGTTTTGGGCGCCTTTTGGGCTCTATTGACGGCCTCTCGGGCCGGTTTTCGTGCGTCTTGGGGGCCTCTTGGGCCGCCTTGGGGCGGTCGTGGGGACCTGGAACCA